CAAAGGAGGTCTGACACATACTTTAAATAGAGCGAGTCTGGATTCGGTTACGAGCATCGTCTTGCAGATATGACCAATAAGGGATCTGGCTTTCGATACACTATAGCTAACTTGCTCCGAGAAATTTAGTGAGCTTTAATAGTGTACGCCGAGATACCTTGCGGTGAGACGCCATTCTGGGTTAGTGCATTAGGCGATGCATTGCATCTATGCGAAAAGACACTGCACTTAGCAGAAGAAAAATCAAGGTTCCATGTGTTGCGCCAAGAGTCTAATACTTTAAGGTCATTTTGAATATTGCGGAGACCGCTTCTTAAGTCACCCGGGTCAAAGGAGATTACGGCTTTGATATCGTCAGCGGACCTGTACGGCTTTCCATATTCAAGATTTGGAATATGTCATTGGTGTAAAGTAGGAAGAGTATAGGGCCCAGTACACTTCCCTGGAACACGCCACTCGTTTATGGTTTCTGTGAAGACTCGGAGACTCCTAGTCCCTCCGACTGTGTTTGACACCAGAGATAGGAAGAGAACCAAGGATGCAGGTGCTCCGATATGCCGTAAGCAACCAGTTTACTTAACAGTCCATTATGAGGCACTCGGCCGAATGCTTTTTTATATCCAAGAAGATGATGATCAGAGCTTTCCTGCACTCAACCATGGCGATTACATCGTTCAGGAATTCCAACTAGCATGTTGGACAGAGTTTGGACAGGAGGAATCCATGCTGGGATTTGTTGATGAGATTACGATGGGTCAAGAACCGTAGTAGCTCTTCTCTGACGATCCTTTCCATTACTCGTGAAGCAAATATTGCGTGACTAATGAGTCGGTAGTTTTCAACGCTTTGACAGCATCCACTTTTATGTCTTGACATGACTACTGCATGTTTCCAAGCAGCGGGAATGGCTCCATGTTTTATGGAAACAGTGAAGATGTTAAAAAGCAAGAAGGCTATATTCGGACCACCTAGAATTAGCAAAGCCGATGGGAGACCATTAGGTCCGGTGTGGAAAGATAGTTTGTGGGCTCGAATTTCACGAGTAATTGTACGCCGGTCAAATTGTACTGTGCGTAAAGTATCGTAGATACAACTTGGAATATTAAGAGGCAGCGTTCGATTAGCAGAGTTAAAAGATCCGCAGAAGTGGAGATCCACTACCTCACATATTTCACCTGAATTGTCTGGAAGAATAATTGAGTTCATCGAATTTCATGCGGGCTTGCTTCTGCGCCTCATCAGAAGATTGAGGGCTTTGGTACGGTTAATAGCGTTCGGAGTATTATGTTCTTCGGACAGATATGCGGTAGCTAGTGCATTTCTCCACTCCACCAGGACTTCGTTTATGCGTATAAGAAAGCAGAATTCTTGGGTCCTGTTGTACTTTAAGCGTAGCTTTTTGAGCTTGACGAGTAGTTTGCCAGAGGGAGCTGCATTCTGCCGTGGATGCATTGCTTTTCGCTTCGCTATAGGTGCAAGTATATCCAGACAGTGAGTGAGATTTCTATATAGTACAGAAGTGGCAGTGTCCGTATCTGTAGCCAAAAAGAAGACGTCCCAGCCTATATATCTCAGAAGTAGATCAAACTTTGTCCGGTTGATGCGTTTGAAGAGCCGAACAGGACACGCTGGTCTATCCACTGGGGGACGAGTAATGGTTAGTCGGAAGGAGAGCTTTAGTATTTTATGATCGCATCCAGGAAGATTGTCAAATACGCTAGCAGATGCATGCACAATTCCATTTGTACAAAGTAAATCTAGGGTGTTATAGTACCTAGTGAGTGCATGCACGTGTTGAGTCCACCCAAATGCACGTATGGTCTACACATATGCACGGTATTCGGGTGGCGCAGATTGTGTTTGCCAGGCTACTTGTGGCATGTTTAAGTCACCACCGATTCTCTTCTAGTGGCTAGGCAATAGGGGTACTTCTGTGAAGAGTTCAACTGGATTGCGTATACCGATTATGTTTTTATGTGGAAGGTTATACAGACAGCCAGTTATGAGATCGTGCTGTCCCCTACTAATCTGAATCCAGACCGAGTCTTCAAAAGGGCCTATGAAAGTTCTTGAAATGATGGCGCCCCGAAATCATCACGCACGTAGATGAGGCATCCACCACCACGGTGGTTGGCTCGTCCATTCCTGAAGGAGGTGTAACCTGGGATTCGCACCTGTGCATCGGTAGTGTTAGCATTGTGCCACGTTTCTGTGATGAGCACGACTTGAGGGCCGAACAGGACAATGACGGGGCTAATAATGTGCATCTTATGTTTGGTGGACCTTGCGTTAATGAGAAGTAAAGTGAGCACCTCGTTGCAAGACTGGTCATCTGATGCATTATCAGAAATAGAAGTAATCTGAGTGGTTTGCGTAGATACAGTTGCTGTCGACTCAGAGAGTGATAACAGCTATAAGGTTGCAGAGGTCAGCCAAAATATTACTGTCCACGTTACTATGGAGCAGGTCGGGTTGTAGATCAGCAGGACGCAGTGAGTCCGCTTGGTTACCATGCTGAAACGAGGCAGAGGAGACGGGTCGATAGTTGTGAGAACAGTTATTAGTGATGACAAAGTTATTGGCAGGAAGATTTTTAACGCAAACGTTACAATATGTATGGTTGGCGGCATCCGGTTTCGGATTTGCCTGTCACTGTGGTCATCCACAGGACGCCTGTGCTTAGAGACGGCACATCGGTGGCTTGCGCTGCACCATCCACAGCTCCAACCACACACCCCATATCCAGTGTAAACCCGAAGCAATAAGACCGGGAGGCATGTGGATGGGAGCCACGTTTCATCAACGGAGCCGGCCCACACTCCTTCACAGGCAAACACAAGCACGCTGTATTTGGGGAATCAAGCGCACACAAGGCGGTGGCTGGACCGTAGTCCGCTCCACACTGAGTGCATGGAACCACTCTTTGAGCCTAGCACGGCCACAAGAACCGTGCACCCCGTCCCCTCCAGCAACGACTAACTGTCTCCTGGAGCCAGTATGAACGAGGTAGTGGGTAATAGACAGGTAGGCACCTTGTCAACATACACATCAAGCGCAGCCACACCGGGGATATCAAACAACAGCCATTCACTTTAAACGACAAGCTGAAATAAAATAAATTCAATAATGCATACAAATACGGTGGCATAACTCTGCGCTAAATTATCATATGAAGTAAGTTGGTTAGCAACGAATCCGCGACAAGCAAAAATGTCCACAAGTTACTTAAAAATGCTACAAACGCAACAAAATTACCGAAGATAAGCGCAATTAGCGTAAGCAACGTGGCCAGTTAATAGAACATTATTCAGGTAGGCAGAATAAACCAAATAAAGTGGAATGAAATGTATCCAGCTTAAAAGGACCTAGTTTAAGTGTAAGTTGGTTTAGCCCAACTGCGGTGAAGAAGCATCAAGAATGCAACATCAGCCTCAACATGGGGCACAGAATATATATATATATATATATATATATATATATATATATTTGCAACAGCCCACGAATAGGCATGGAGCCATTAAAAACCATGGAACTCAAAGGAGGGTACAGATATCGTTACAAAAACAACACGGAGGAGTCCGTGATTTCGTCAGAGTGCGAGGTACTACCTAGTTGCCCAAGCCGAAGTTGTGTGCTGACTTAGGAGATACCACCCCGAGCCTTTAGCCGATTGGCCTGCCCGCAAGGCAGCGGAGCGAATTCAGGAAATCGCGCCGATTGGGAGCCGGTGACTGGTTGTCTAGTTCACGCCTTTCATTTATTCGTTTGCCAAACAGGGGTTTGATGCTGCCCACAATTTCAGCATTAAGTTGCTGGAATACAATGCCAGTGTGAAGCAAGGGGCAGTGACTTTATTTAGCGGCGAGTCACATTCGCCACGTCACAGAGTTGTCAAAAGGACATATTTGGCTTTTTATAGGGAGATCGCTTGCCAGACGAAAACCCATCACGTCCTGGAACACTGCCGCCTAACGATTTGCTGGAACGGGATCATCCCGTACCACCCAGCTGGCACCACGAGGAAGTTGTTCGGCAAGCCAGCCAGCCAGATGTATGCCGTCAAGTTGGTTGTTTAGTTCGATGCTTTGTACACCCATGCAAACAATATGTGCATGTTTGTTGTCTTTACCTACTCCTGCATAGTCTGTAGTATTGATTTCGTGAAAGATGGTCTCTATCATCAGTTAAACTAGGTCTTTCCTCGTAGAATAAATGCCACTACCGACTGGTGTTCTTAATGCCTAAGTTAGTAAGATTTTCAGTAATGGGCTGTGTCTGTGTGATCAAAACGTTGTTGCCCTCGTAAGCGTAATACATGAGTGGTTGCTGCATTTCTGTGAAGGTGATTGTCTACTGGTCGTGCGCACCAACTTCTGATACAGCAACTCCTACATCCTTACATGACACCCATTATCCATGGAGGTTCACTGATCACCGTTGGAGTGGTTGCGTTCAAAATTACTACCCACTTTGGTGCGCTGAGTTTTGACCTTTTCACTATGTTTTGAAATCTGGGAACTTTCTTTTACTTTCTTCTATGTGAGGGTATTGACTGCCTTTTTCTGTTATTCGCTTACGCTCTCATTATCATTCATCGATTGCTCGGTGGTAATTACCTAATTCCTCTCACTTGCTGTGATTGACTTTTTCGGTGGTAGCATTCCGACTCACTGGTCTCCGTTCTGCGCGTGGTTTGGGAACTTAGATTGGACACTATCACGTGTCATCCACTGGATTGCCTTAGTGTGCCAAGCCCCATCTCTCTACAACTTACCTCGGTCGGACGTCTGTTCCGTACAGATGAATAAGGTGACTAATGTCTATATTCCATGGTCTCCTAACCTGCTTCTACCACAGTTCTCACTGTGTATCTGCTGCCGCAATCTGCACGTCTGAGGTTGTCAATTTTTAATCAGCTGCTGTTGAGGCAATGCTAAATACGAGCAGCGTTGCGTAGTCCATATACAACACTGGCACCCCCATTTCACCCCTGTTTTCAGGATACCCTTCTCCGCGAGGCATGCAATCTACTCTCAAGTCTGCCACCCAGCATCCCATTTGGCGGACTGGTGTATTTACGCACGGGATTAAAACCTGGCCATCAACTCCTACCGTTTGCCTTCGTTGCTTGTAAACCAAACGGTTCCGGCAGTTTGAGCGGAAAATCATGGTTGGCGATACCATCGTTTAGAGTGCAATGGCCGGGATCTAAAGCGTTTAGACAGCTGACTGCAATAGACTTCTACAACGGCTACTTGAAGACGGTGGATATTTCGAACTGTCGCGAGTCAGCCCAACTTCCTCGTGGCTGTTACCTTTTCCCAGAGTTCCAGTCTCCACCCAAATCCCAGAACCCATTGCTTTCCGAACCCTGGAATGTTCTTACTCCACCTGTACAGTTGTCGTCTGTTTATTCTTGAATGTTTCATCCGTTGTACACGATGCAGCCGCGACGAAATGTGTACATATTGTTTGAATGATATCGTCTGTCTTCATTTTGGTCTTCCTGTTGGATAATCGTCTTGACCAGATAGTCTTATTTACAGTACTGATCTATACAATAATGAGCTAATAAAAATCATGTTGAAATTGCTTGAGTTATGGTTCTTTGAACATGGATGACACCTTCGACACTGAAATCGATCGACTGGTATGGAAAACATTTTGGCAAAGTCAACACAGTTATACGCGAACGCTAGAATTGCAAATGTCTTAAGTGACCGATTTTTCGTGGCAGTCATGATACCGTGTTCGCACAGTTTCGGTAGCGTTGGCCTGACCGCGATCACTTAGGTAGCCCTTAGGTGACAATTTCTAATTCTCTTTGAGTATTGTTTCGGTACAGTCTGGCAAATTTCGAAGGAGTCCATTGTCAGAATTTGATATCTTCTTGCTACCAAATGATCCCAGATTGAACTGTTGATGCGTCTGTCAGTGTCATTGCGCATTGGTTCTTCTCAGCTTTCTGCAATCCGTAACAACAAACATCCGATCGTGTGTCCGAAGTACTTTACATCGTTAGCGCAAGTAATTTGAACGTATATCTCGAAACAGATCTTAAATGCCGTTGAGCAACAAGCGGAGGGGTCTCCGCAACAACATGTGATCAAGTTGAGTAGTAGGTTTTAGCCACTGCAGTGGAAATTCCATTGTTCGGCCAATCACAACCGTCATCCCCTTTAAAGGAACCGAGTGATGCACGTGCGTTTTCTGAACCATCACGACATGCTTCGGACCCTCACCAACCACAATATTTTAATAACAGGCAGACAAACAATTGATAGCAGCGTTTTATGGACACAGTGTTTGCTGTCTACCAATTTCACCGGATTGCATATCCTGCTGGCAGCTAGCCAGGTAAGGTTTATACTTCGGCGGCACGAAGCTCAGATGGTGCGTGCATTTGCCGATACACGTAGATTTCCAGCAGACACTTCTCTCAAGTGAACTGTCTTCCCGTCTCCCTAGTAGCACTCTCAGAGATATCATCTTTTTCCCTTCAATGGTGAACTTCAACAATGGGTGTGCATTATTGAGTCGATCCAGTAGACAAACAACTTCGGCGCTTGAATCAAAGGCTATACTTGTATCTTACGAGTATCTACTGAAGCGATAGCGGACTTGATAGAATCACTTTCAAGCCTATCTGAGAATATGGCAACAAACAATCGTCCTGGGATAGACCACAGCATAATTTCTACAGTTTGTCTTCCTATAGATTCCATTAAACAAGAGTTTTCTGCTGAAATTACATCGTTAAATCATGTATTGGCGTACCAGGGTTTCTGTTCCATTCAATTGTAGTTACAAATAAGATGTACAATTTGGTGAAGATTGAGGGAAAAACTGACCGAACGCTAGGTGAACACCAAAGTGTTGATTAACGGTTCTCTATGCCTCTGCTTGTTTCGAGCATCCGAGATCTTTCTGTACCAGTGCATCCAGGTTACAATCCTGAGCAGGTTTCTGCAGCGTGTGGTCTCCAAGCTTGTACATGCTCACTGGTTAATGGCGCAGGTGGATCTTCTTGCACTTAGGTGTGTTCAACTGGATTAGGTTTCTCATTGACCATACATAAATCCAATCCAGGTCATGTTGGAGGAAGTCATGATCTTCTTTACTATTAATCGCTCGTCTTATTTTGACATCATCGGCGAAAAGCAGGAAATTGGAGGAGGTAACTCTTGCCAGGACTTTGATAAACACAAGGAATAATCGCCGTCCCAGCACGGAGTCCTGTGGAACACCGCATTCCACCTCAATCTGGTTGCAGAGCAATTCCTTAACACGCACTTGAAACCTCCGTTGGTGTAGAAAGTTGACACTCAATCACGATCTCCGATTCCATGACCGTAGCCTGTGAAATAGGATGCGGTGACGCAGGCGATCGAAAGTTTTGGAGAAGTCCAGATAGGTGACGCCGACTCCGACCTTTCCCTATCAGCCACTTCCATCAAACTACGTGCTGTCCGTAGGTTGGTGGTGCATGGCCGGTGCTGTCGGTAGCCATGCTGCTCCGGTGCGAAGACGTTTCATTTTTCCTGGTAATCCATTAGAGCCTCAGCGATGGCCGCTACTACCACGTTCTTGAGCACAGGGAGGAAACTCACCGGGCGCTAATTTGCAGTGTCTGAACGGCTACCGCCCTTAAAAGTTGGACCAATAATGCCATCCTTCCACATAATGGTGACTTGTTGTTCATCGGAACACCTTGGGAAGAACTGTGACAGTGGTTCAGCTAGCTTGGTGACCGCAGCCTTCATTGCTTTCGGGAGAATGTTATCGGCTCCCGGAGAGCCATGGTCACGCAATGAGAGCAACTTCCTTAGCACAGTTACTGGGTTGAAAATTATACGTGTAAACCCTGTGATCAGTAAAGTGGCTAATGGTATGTGACAAGGACAGACTACCGGTTCGAAAATTGGGGTGTATTGTAGCCGCAAGGCATTAGCTGATTCATCGGCGTTCTATGCTTGTTGTGATAAGTCGAAGGATTCCATGTTTTATTTTTCGAAGACTTGACATGCCCGTACAGTAGTTTGTTGTTTGTCAGAAACTTTTGGGCTGCACTATTGTTACGTTACTCTATCCTCTCGGACAAATGTGTTGCAGTAGCTACGATCGGTCAGGAAGTTGCCCTTATTCTCTGAGTTTGGGTCAGACTTGCAGGTACGCCATGCGGGTTCCCTTATTACCGTGCATTTCCGAGTCCTGCTTCTGCGAATCATCAACACTTGCGGAACGGAGTGACTTGATTTCTGATTCACTTTTGATCATGTCACTGAGTCTTCCAACAAACTTTGTCCAAATGTTTTTAAGGGGACTGTTGCTGGATGGCTCCTAAGCGAGTTCTTTTAGGTCGTGGTAGCATATCATTGTGTGAGTACATTCCGCGTGCTCGCATGAATACCCTGCATAGCAGTTCATCATCATCATACACGTTAGCCAGAGGTGGGGAACACCTCAGCTACTGTGCCGCAATACGTAGAAAAAAGGAGAAAAAATAGCAATTGGTGCAAGCGGGTTGAGCTACCGGTAACGGATGGGCATCGTTCCGGTAAGCTACCAGCGGGTTACTGTGCATCAAAAAAATTACTATGCAAAATTATATAAGGCTAAATAATGGGATCGTAACAAACTGGTGCGGAAAAACTAATGAATCGCAATCCTGCCTCATCCTTCGCGATACATCTCTTAGTAACTCGTCAGCACGCGGACCAATCGAGCGCACTCAAATAAATGGTGCGCGATCAGAATCCGAAAAGACTGGCTGTCACTGAGGTTTTACTTGTCTCGAAGTATCGTCCAGTGTTTTGTGCACGGAAGCAAGTAAAGCAATCTGTTAGATTGCCTTCGTTTTGCATGATCAATTTGTTTCAATTTGGGTTCCACATGTTCTCTTCTGTTGGTTCCTAATCGTATTGCGTTCGCGGCTGATGCGAGCAATTGAAATATTAACATTTCTCTACTTATGACGAAACCATGGACTCATTCGTGTTATGTTGCCTTTTAACGATATCTGTACCTTCCTTTGAGTTTCATGGGTTTCGATGGCTCCATGACTATTCGTAGGCAGTTGCAGGTATATATAATATATGTCCTTTTTGCACTCAGTAAACTTGCATTCACTTAAACTTGGTTGTGGCAGAATATCACAGGTGAATAAATGCATCTAGCGGGCCACGCACAATCTAGGCATGATCACTCCGTCGGTCAACAAAGTGGGTGGATCATTCCGCAGGTGATCTGTATAGTTGACAACTTTAATACCTGCTGCTTTCTGTCGGTGGATAAAAATGTCCAGATCCTCTTTGCTGTGGTTAGCATTACCTCGGCTCAATTCACAGTTATGTTTGCATGCACAAGCCATGGTATTAGACCTTAGCAGGGGCTTGATATTGTTTTCTGTCTAATAATTGGATCTCTTCAATCTCACGAATGCTTGTTAGAATGATCTTTTATGTAACTCAGCGCTAAGCACCTTCGGTGCAGATTCTATTGAATACACACTATGAGTATCGTTGCGTCAGTACATGAACCTATCCGCTAGGTACATGGATGCCGAGCACCTTCTGGCTTGGACCTCGTTTTCCCAACTAACTCGGTTTTGTTGGTGACATAGTTCTCCATTCTCCACTGAGCACCGATCGATGATCGTGTATGTTTATTTCGCTAAAGTCTGCGATTCACCAGAGTGCCGATAAGTCATCTCGAAGCTTATCACACGCGAACTGTGAGGCAAGGCAAACAAGACTTCAAATGTACATAGAGATCTTGTTATCCGATAAGGTGTAGGTGCTTGGGATAAACATAAGTCCTATCTCACGCGGAACTCTGCTCCCTACCTCCCGCACACGATGAGTAAAGAAAACACAGCTACAAAGCTACACTGGACAGAGATTACTTGCTGCTACCAGCTCAAAAAGTGAGCTAGATGCTGGAGAATCTACTAAACCACTCCATCAACTAACATCTGCGGAAGGCCCAGTGAGATTAGAAACATATGCAAACAGCAGATGAGCACAGCTCAGCTGTTTTACTAAAAGAGGGTGCCTGACTAAGGCTACCCTGAAGAAAACAGCCTATTTGGGGCCAACCCACTTCGTATACGGATTTGTATGTAACTGCGGTGCTAGTTACGTAGGCAGGAAGTGCATGTACCAAAATGTGTTCAAGGCGAGGGTGTGCGGCACGCAAACCCATGTCCAACTACGTGTGTGCTCGGGACACAGGCACCTTTTGACACTTTTACAGTACGCATTTCTTCAAAAGCGTTCAATTGCCACTTGCCAGCTAGATTGCTTTGATCACTTACTGAAGTCGACATAGTTTGGTAAGGCCTGTATCGTACCTGGACCTTCAGAAAGCCTTTGACAGTGTTTCACGCAAAACGCTTATAAATAGACTGCATCTTAGTGGAATCGCAGACTCACTATTATTCTGGCTGGCAGCTTACCTCAATGGTCGAAAGTAGACAGTCACGATAGATGAGTATCTGTCGGAAACAAGAGATATGACTAGTGGCGTGTTACAAAGTAGTTTACTCGGCCCGCTTATTTTTTGATATATGTCAATCATCTTTTCCCTG